ATAACAAAGTGTTTGCTTCACAACAACTCTGTGACTGTTCTTGAATGGCCCAGTTAGAGCCCTGAACTCAATCCAATTGAGCATCTTCAGAGAGACCTAAAAATCCAACCTGACATAACTGGAGAAGATCTGCAAGGAGGAATGGATGAGGATCACCTAAATTCAGGTGTGAAAAACTTGTTGCACCTTCCCCAAAGGCTGTATGAGATCAAAAGGGTGCTTCTACTAAATACTGAGCAAAGGGTCTGAATAAAACCATTTGATATTTCAGTTTTTCATTCATTTTCTTTCAACTTAGTTCCTTTATTTAGAGGTCGCCAAAGCGGAATGAACCCCCAACTTATTCAGCATATGCTTTACACAGCGGATGTCCTTCCAGCTGCAACCCAGTCCTGGAAAAATATTTCAGTTTTTCTTTTTTAATAATAAAACTGCAAAAATGTCAACAATTCTGTGTTTTTATGTCAATATGGGGTGCTGTGTGTACATTATTGAGGAAAAGAAACAAACGTAAATGATTTTAGCAAATGGCTGCAATATAGCAAAGAGTGAACATTTTTTATACCCACTGTATATATTTATATATTGACAATTGTTGTGTGTATGAAAGTGTGCTAACTGTGATCTTCCTTCAACCACAAGACTGTCTGAGTGCTATATTATAGCATATTGTATTGTAAAACTGCACATTATGGTTTAAGAGTAACTGTTGTTTATTGCTCAGTGAAATGCTACGCATGCTAAGCTAGGCACAGACTATTCTCTGAACACACTCTGAACTCTGCACAGTTGGCTTTTTCTTTGAGACAAAACAAATCCTCTTAATGATGGGTTACTGTGAGGCTGTTGCAGACATAATTATAATCAGAATTCTGTGTGCGAGTTTCCTTTTAGCATCCAATTTCCCTGTGGCCCAGTGCCCTGCGCTAGTTAAGCTGTAAAGCCTGCATCAAGGCAAATACATTCAGGGCAAATGCATTCAGGGCAAATAAGTCTAGTACAATTTTTAAAATCAAAGCAACATCAAAATAACCAGTGAAATAGTTAAATTTTTCAACAGTATAACAAACTTTAATGGTAAATGGTAAAGTAATAATAGAGAATAAAATTAGCTTAAACTACAATCATTATCTTAAAATGAATAGTATATCCCTGCTGAAAAATCCAGCTTAAACCAGCCAACCAGCCTAGGCTGGTTTAAGCTGGATTTTTCAGCAGGGTAGAGATTGTGAACGAGAACTATTACAGGTTTGCCAACCGTAAGATTTTGGTGGCATGGACTGAAGTAATGAAATTTTAACAATCCAACTATTTTTATAGATGTAACATCAAATATCTTTTAAGAATTCTTCCCTACCATATACAGTTTGGGGAAAAAAATTAGACCCAATTCTTAATTAAATAATAGAATTCTTGAGTTCTCTAGATTTATGTGTTTAAAATGTTCCCATGTAAAAATAAATAAATAAATAAAATCAGTTGCAGCTATAATAAAGTTAATAAATAAATCGATCTTATTATACAATTTAATACAAATTGTTCATCACCCAATGACGGTTGGGTTTAGGGGCGGGGTTTGGTGCCACGTTTTCTTTTTAAAATCGTACATTTCAATACTACGGAACGCTTACGAATTTGTACGATTCGGGGATGATTGGGAGGCTATGATGGGTAAGGGCCGATGGAAATTAAAGTCTAGATCGTATACGTGGCTGGCTGGAGTAGCGATATGTACATAAATTGGGGGTAGGCGTCAATAAAATACAAAAAATGGGAAATGCAATAAATAATATAAATAATTCTCGTTAACTTCCTGCCATAACCCTATCTAATCTAGCAACAACCCAGATGAGTTGAATTTGGCCAGGACACCGGGGCAACATCCCTACTTTTTACGAGAAGTGCCATGGGATTTTTAATGACCACAGAGAGTCACGACCTTGGTTTATGATTTCATCCGAAAGACGGCGCTCACTGACAGTATAGTGTTCCCTTCACTTTACTGGGTCATAAGGAGTCACACAGACCACAGGTTGAGCAACTCCTGCTGGCCTCACTAACAACGCTTTCAACAGCAACCTGGTTTGTCCACATGATCTTCCATCCAGATACTGACCAGGCTCAGCCCTGCTTAGCTTCAGTAAGTAACTGGTCTTGGGCTGCAGGGTGATATGGCTGTGCAGATATTACAATAAACCACTTTGTTGACTGTTGTAAAAACTAGAGTATACTATAGTATTTATTGCAGTTTATCAGTTCAATATTGTTAATACAGTCTGCTGCAGACAAATAGTCAGATATTCTTTATTATATACTGTATAATACACTATTATAGAATGCTTCTATAAAAGACACTATAATGTTTACAATACATTACCATAGTATTCTTTTTGTGGGCTTAAAATGTGTTGTTTAAACTTCCGATACCATTTCTTCCAACTTTCAAATAAAAATATTGTAAATTAGAACATTTTCCCCCTCAGAAAATGATAATTTGCCAAAATAAAAAATGTTTAGTTTGTTTTGATTGAAATTCAGAATAATTAGAGCAAGTTTTGAAAAATACAAAATACATTTGCTGAGAAATCATTTCCACAATTAGTGGTGTTTGCAAAGTATTCACTGTCTCCACAAGTCTTCAGTGTTAAACTCTTGAACTGCTGTGCTATAAGTGAATTGAATAAACCAAATTGGCCGTAGTGTATGTGTGTAAATGAATATCTATGGGTTTCCCAGTACTGGGTTGCAACTGGAAGGGCATCCGATGTGTAGAACCTATGCTGGATAGGTTGGCGGTTCATTCCACTGTGGCGACCCCTAATGAATAAAGGAACTAAGCAAAAGGAAAAAAAAAAAGTTGTTTGACTAATTGTCTATTTACGCTCTACATATGATCTAAATAACAGTGGTTTTATTTTTATTTTTTCTATTAGAATTCACCTTGTGTACAAACATCACTTAAAGTAGGATGTCACATGAAGTGAAGAAGTCATTAGTAAAAAAGTCATTAGTTTAAATAATAGAACACAAATTGACATTTTTCTCAAAACACAAACTATTACTATTGTATAAACCCCAAAAATAAGACTTTTTGAATTATTTGGAATGCATTTTAGTTGGGTTGTAAGAGCCTAAAATGGCAACCCTGATCATATGAAAGCTCCAAACATTTTGCAAGGACATGCATTTGGCGGTTTCACTTGATTTGCTAATCCCTAAAATCTTCTTTCTCAAATTTTGTATAAACATTTAGCCTAGTCTTCTTTACTTCATGTAACATCCCACTTTAAGTGATGCTTGTACACAAGGTGGTTTCTAATAGTCTCTCTGTGATGTGCTTACGGGGTAAAACATTTGCAAAATTGTACATCATTAATGATCTTAAAAGATTTACTGATGTTCTCATGTGATCTTATAGAAAGTCAGTTGTACTGCTAGTTGCTATAAACATAACAGTTATAGACCATTTTGCGGTATGTAAACAATAAAAACCCAGCAGGCACAGGACATCAACATGATGTCATATTAACGTTGTACCTCAATGTCGTGGGACGCTGCATTTTGTTAGGAAATGAAAATCAGGTTGACGTCAGAACCCAACGTCAGGCTGACGTCAATTTCTAATGTTGGCCAGACGTTGCATTTTGATCAGGTCTCAACTAAATATTAATGTCTAATGATGTTACAGCTTAACATTGTGTGGAAGTTTTTGACATCAATATGACGTTGTTTTTTGGTGAAGTTGGATTTTGGTCACTTTCAACCCTAAAATCTTATTTCTCAAATGTTATATAAACATTTAGCTTACTCTTCTTCACTTCATGTGACATCCCACTTTAAGTGATGTTTGTACACAAGGTGATTTCTAATCGTCTCTCTGTGACATGCTTACGGGGTAAAATATTTGCAAAATTGTAAATCACAGATGATCGTAAAAGATTTACTGATGTCTTCATATGATATTATAGAAAGTTTGCTATAAACATGTATAACAGTTATAGACCATTTTGAGGTATGTAAACAATAACAGCAACAACAGGACATCAACATGATGTCATATTGACGCTGTACCCCAATGACGTGGGATGCTGCAAAACCCAACGTCAGGCTGACGTCAATGTCTAATGTTGGCCAAACGTTGCATTTTGACCACGTCTCAACTAAATATCAATGTCTAGTGATGTTACAGCTTGGCGTTGTGTGGACGTTACCACTATAACGTCTATCAGATGTTGGATTTTGGTTGCCACACCTGATGAATAAAGTCAGTGTTTGACATCAATTTGACATTTGTTTTTGGTGACGTTGAATTTTGGTCACTTTTAAACAAAACATTTCATTTCGAGTCATTATTGTACGTCGAATTAACATTGTTCTTTGATGCTGGTGACCTAAATATAACCTAATATCAACCTAACATATTTCCTGTTTCCCATTTTGGTCCCACTTTATATTAAGTGTCCTTAACTTCTATGTACTTACATCAAAAAATAAATACAATGTACTTACTGTGTTTATGATGTATTTGAGAACACTTGTGGTGCTTTTGAGTTGGGATAGAGGATGGGTTTGGTGGCATGGGTAGGTTTAAGGGTGGGTTAAGGTGTGGGGATGGTCAACAGTGTACTTACAAATGTAATTACAAAAGTTAATTACCAATGTAATTACATACATGTATTTAATTAAGCATAAGTACACAGTAAATACATGTATTTACACAATAAGTACATTGTAACAAACTATTAGTTCCTGTGTAAGTACGTATTAGTTAAGGCCACTTAATATAAAGTGGGACCCACATTTTTAATTTCCATAGCTTCTGAGAATCTAAAATGGTCAACATATTGGTAAACAATGCTATGATAGCTGTTAAAACGTTAAGTTATAAATGAATTATCTCTTGTTACAGTTGTGAAACAGTTTAACAACTAGCAGGACACGTTAATGAGCCAATGAAATCTCCACATTGAAAGGGTCTATAGAAGAAACAGACATTCAGGTTTCAGTTAATGTCACATTTATTTTCCATGAAAATCATGGATAGCAGTTACACACTCTCACACATACGGTACCAAATCAGGAGCATTTATAGAGTAAGAGAAATTTAAATGCAATCATAAAATGTACAAATCTAAAAGTAGATTACCCTGATAAAGTTATCACGCTGACAGTTAAACATAAAGGTCAGAGGCCATTTCCTGATGATGTGTAGCTGTAAAGAGTGCAACAGTGAACGACCTCTCGGTTTTTGGCCTAGGAGGAAACATCTTCCTCATTTAATTTTCTCAGTTCTGCAGATTAATTAAAAAGACTTTAAAAATAAACACATTGAAATGCTGTTGCCAACATGACAATATAAAATTGATCAGATTAATGTTTTAAAACAGAAAATACAATGCAGTCACTTCACTGTTGCGCTCCGATCTCTGGCAGATTGATTCTGATTGGGCTTCTGAATAATGAGAAGCAAATTCAACAGCTCATTGGCCGATCCTCCCCATCACTGCTGGTTAAACAGGAGGATACATAACCAAAGAACTTTGTACTAGACTTTTTACAACATGGCACGTCTGTATAGATCAAGTCTAGTGCACTGCAGCGTATAAAGCTAATCATACTGTAGCTCTACTGTTCCCCAAACCTACATTTCACATCGCGGAACTGTGTTTACCAGGATACAAGGGTAATTACACCCTTTATGGACAATCAAAATGATCAAATGATTGCTGAGTGACAACTTAAACATCATGGCATATATGTTCCACTTGGAGTGCCCATGTGACTGCTATAAAACTGCAGAAATGGAGGGTAAACAAACAAAAAAAAAGCGCTTAAATCACCAGTGTTAGCATGCTAGCATCATTAACATAGTCACATAACATTTGCACATGCATTTATCAGGTGGAAGACATAAATTAGAAAGTGTGGCACTGTATTTGGTTATTAAATGAAAACAGTAGATGGTTTTTGAAACCATAATCATATGGTGTTGATTGTGGAGGAGGTCAGCAGTGTTCCAGTTCAGCCATTTTGAGTGTCAGCAGAAATATGAACATTAGGCTAGCAATTAATAGAGTTTCCATGTGTTCAATGAACAAAACTGTGTCCTTCTGGCAAACTGATGCAAACCATTAAATTTTACTGCGACCAGGGAAACCGCTATAGCTCTATTTTGCCTCAGAGTGCAGATAAAACACAACTGACGAGTTATTTGGAGCAAAATCAAGAAAAAATTTGGAGATCTGGGGATCATTTTAAAAGACAAAACAAATCTGGCTCAGACATTTCTAAGTAGCTAAAGCCTCTGAGATGATATGCATTGAAGTCCAGTCTTCCAATCACACTCCTTTACATTTATTATTTCCCATTCAGAAATGTAGCCAGTATGAATCAATTTCAAAATTCGACTTTAATGCCAAGTTTAGACTACATAATATTGTAAATATTATGCAATTTTGAATATGAAAATTTGTGAACCGTACACTGTATATTGTGTGTGTAAGTTGTTTCTAACTCTTTCTCTCTCTTTTTACATGACCTGTCACTTTCACATTTAGGTACCGCATATGTATGGAGCACTATTGGCTGGCAGGACTGCCAATCATAATCACCTTGTGATGATGCATATTATCTCTGCCAATCACGATTGACGCAAAAACATCTAAATTTGAATCGGTAGAGGTAAGAGACCAGCTGTTGTCTGACGTTTGGCATGTTATGTGGTGTCCGTATGTTTTTGGCGTGATACCAACGCTCACTTTGAGTGCGATCTGTTGTTAAAGTTCTGTCAATTGACCGTCAAACCGATAAACACTTGCTGCATTTAATGACATGCATGATGTCATTAAAAGGGTGGAACCAGTGACTGATTTCCAGAAACAGTAGCATAAACAATGGCTTCTTAACAAAGGTTGCAAAGTTCCAGAAGGTTTTCATAGTAAATTCATCTGCAACATTTTGGAAACTTTCCAATTTGGAAACTTACCGGGAATTTTAGGGAATTTACAGGAATTTGAAATGTGCGGAATGTAAACTGCATCACATATGAAGCTAAATTGTTTGGTCATAGGCTAGTAATATGTTCAGTTCTGTATCTTTGATCAAATAAATTCAGCCTTGAAGATTATAAACATTAAAAATAGTAATGTATACCGTGCAGATGTATGAAAACTGGCAAGGGGAAGACAGAAGCACTAGCTTGGGTTAATATAAAGAAAAGGGTGCTTTTTTTACAATTAGCACTACTTTCCCAGCAGGCACACAACATCATAAGACGTTAATTTTAGGTTCGATTTAGGCCATAACGTCAGGTGACCAAAATTCAATGTCAAGATAACTTCTAAGGACAACGTTATTTTAACGTCCAATAACAGCGTCAAATTATGTTGATATTTAGTTGATTTTAAGATTTGTTGACCAAAATCCAACATCTGATAGATGTCATATTGGTAAAGTCCACACAACCTCAAGGTGTAACAGGAGTAGACGATGATATTTGTTTGGTTTTTGATTGATTTTAGGTTGGATGTTGGACATTGATGTCAACCTGATGTTGGATTCTGAGTTCAACCCGATTTTCATTTCCAAAGGAAATCCAATGTCCCCATGACGTTGGGGTACAACATCAATATGACATCATGTCGACGTCCTGTGCCGGCAGGGTTGTAGTATTAGTTGTGTTATAACACTATTATTTACCCAAGTAATGTCAAAACCTACTTGAATGTTTGTAATGTTTACACTTAATTGCAGAAATTTGTTTTAATTTTAAAGTGGATGTAAGAATCCCCCTCTCCCGTGAGGGTATGTGATTGATGAATATATTTTAAATATATACAGCTACATATTATAAGATAATCTGGATTTTTGTAAATTCCCAGTTTATTCCCTGTAATTTCCATATATTTCCAATAGTTCCCATGGTAAGTTTCCAGATTTGACAATTTGGAATTTTGCAACCCTAATCCCAACATTGAAAACACAGGCAACACAGTCCTCTTCGCCTACTCCATGCCTTAGGGGCTGAAAATCTTTATCCCATGAAAGGTAATTTACCAGCACACTTTCTGTTGCCAATTCATGATCAACTGAGCATCATCCACCTGAGGAGCGTGATGCTGAGCAAGAGTCCATCACATTGTTCATCACCTCAGAAGACCTCGGCTACTGTATGCAGATATACTTCTTCCACCATGACTTTGAGAGCATTTTCATTTTATCAGCAGTACTGTGAACCTTCCGTTCCCGTCTTGCTCTTCTGTCTGAATGTCGGAGCCCTACAGATATGGCGGCGTCAAACACCTCCTTCAGGTTTTTCTGTGTGAGCGAAGAACACTCGATGTAGGACACTGCTCCTATTTTGTCGGCCAAGGCTCGGGCGTCCTCTTCCAGAACAGGTCTTTCTCTGCGTCTTGCAAGGTCAATAAGAACCTTGACGTCCTGCCGAAGGTCACACTGGGTGCCCACTAGTATCACAGGGGTGAGCGGGCAACGCCGTCGTATCTCCGGAACCCACTTTTCACCAATGTTCTGGAAGGAAGCGGGGCTCACCACACTAAAGCACAGCAGGAGAACGTCAGTCCGCGTGTAGCAGAAGTGGCGCAACTTATCGAACTCATCCTGAGGATAAGAAAGCACAAGACACAATAAATGCATTGCACACACATGAAGATTATCATTGACTTTCATTAGTGATGTTTCGTAAGGCAAGGCCTCATGCAGCCCTCTCGAAAATCATTTGCGGGATTCCAAATTGTTATTTCGAATAATAAAATCCTTTTAACTGGCTCTTGGGCTGCTTTATAATTCCCTGAAGCAATTAAGTGAAATTATAGGTTGGCGCTTACAAAGAACATTGCATGTGGAACACGCAGTGCACGCTTTCATCTTTTAAACTTGGCCAACATTTTCAACTCTGGCACACCCTGTGATGTTTATGCTGAACAAACGAACTGAAAGTATAAATCTCTAATGCTTTTTGGACAGCAGAGCCTCATGAATCGTAGAAAATACCAATTAGGCTTAACACATAAGGCATTTTTGGCTACTTTTTTTGTTGTACCTAACATGTAAATACAAAAAAAAATTGGGCAATATTATTAGTCCTTTTATGAATTTTTAATTTCTAAAATATTAATTAAATAGATTTTTCTTTCTAAAATATATCCCAATTAATATTAACAAACAAGGTCATTTTCACAGTATTTGCTATTAAATTTGTTCCTCTCCCAACAAAAGAAATGACATTTCTTTTAATTAGGCTTGAATAAAAACAGTTGTTGCTTTTCTTTTTTTTTTTTTTTAACTTTTTTCCAATAACTTGCCTTGTTTACCTAGCTAACCTTGTTAAGCCTTTAAATTGAATTAAGCGGAATAAAAGAATCTTGGTTAATAACTTGTAAAAAGTGTTCTGTAATCATGGCCAATGAAATTAGTTAGAAATTTGTCTAAATCTTTAGTTCACATTTCCTACTATAAACTACTGGCCTAATACAATTCAAATACAATTAGATCCACTTATTTGGTAAAGAAAGCAAGTCACTTTTACTTTACAAACTATATTGTACATAAATCATGAACATTTTAATATTACTATTATTATATCCTAATAATATTAGTGAAAAATGATTTAAATAAATATAAAAACTAAATCCATATAAATGTACACACATTTTGTCAGGACTTCTTGCTGATCAGCTGGTTGTATCAGTTTTGTTTATTTGTATTTAACTACATGTTGCTTTGTTTGTTTCTCTCCACCCCCTCATTTTCATTTATTTAGTTGATTTGTTTCACCTGTGTTTCACCTGTCTCTTATTTTCTCCTCATTAGCTCCCCTATTTATTCTCTTTGTTTGTGCTGTTCTGTGCCAGATTGTTGTTTGCTTCTGACCCATTTAGTTAACCCTTTTCTGTTTTATTCCAGGACTCTCTCCCTACCTTCCCAGCCTTTCTGTGTAGTCCCCGGCTTGCCCAAAGTCTTTGCACTTGTGCATTTTACGATGTCCTGGACACTGGCCTGATTCTGACCATTATACCTGCCTCTGAGTCAACTGGCTATTTTTTTTTTGTTTCTGGATATTTCCAGCTACCCCCCAAGCTTCCATTTTTTTAACCATTCATTGGACTGAATAGTTTTGTTTTTTTATTAGACTGGGAAGTGTGCAAGTATTTTCTTTTGCCATTTTAGTTTTAACTTTTTGGACTGAATAATTTTTTTTTTTTTCTATTTGACTGAGAAACACTTGCTGAAGAGCATTTTGTTTTCCGTTTGTTGAACTGAGATTGAGATATTAACATTAGAGGATCTTTTTTATTTTGAATTTTGCCATTTTTACGTATGGACTGATCTGCCTTTTTTTGCCTTCTATAATAAATTATTTCTCTTCACCTGCTTTTTTTTCTGTTTACTGGCCCTGACACATTTAAACAAGTGAATACAAAGAATCAATGGTGTGCTAAAAACCTGCAAAAATCTGCAGATTCCATGTGGGCCTACTTATTACCTGCCTATTACATTGATTTTAACTCTTCAATAAAGAATATTTATACTTTTTACATTTGAAGAGTTTAAATGCAAAAACCTAAAAGGTGCAGTGTAAATTTTTCATCTAAAATTTGCCGTTTTCTCAGGCTGTTGTGAATAGTTTCTGTAATTTTACCCTTAGTGCATAAAATAGGTTATTTGCATTGCCTTTCAAGTGAAATAGCTGAACATAAACTCTAATTGTACCAGGGGTGTCCAAACTCTTTCCAGGAGGGCCGGTGTCTTGCTGAGTTTAGCTCCAACTTGCTTCCACACACCAGACTGGAAGGTTCTAGTTTATATAATAAGAGCTTGATTAGCTGGTTCAGGTGTGTTTAATTAGGGTTGGAGCTAAACTTTCTAGGACACCGGCCCTTCAGGACAGAGTTTGGACACCCCTGATTAGCACATATTCTGTATCCCTACACTGTAAATAAAAATCTGTTATTTTACGTGTTTTTTTTTTTCGGCAGCTGGGGTGCTGGAAAAAAAACGTAAACTAACGGTCGGTAAATTACAGACATTTGCCGTAAAATAACAGAAAGTAAATTACAGAAGTTTACCAGAAATTTACATTTAAGGAAATTTCTGTAATTTAAAGTCTGTTATTTTATAGTAAATGTCTGTAATTTACCAGCCGTTTTTTAATTATTTTTTTTCTGGCACCCTAGCTGCTGGAAAAAAAAGTAAAATAACGGCTGGTAAATTACAGACAATTACCATAAAATAACAGAAGGTAAATTACAGACATTTACCTAAAATTTAAATTTTTAAGGCAAATGTATTTAATTTAACGGCCGTTATTTTATGTTTTCTTTTCTGGCACCTTAGCTGCTGAAAAAAAAAAATAGTAAAATAACAGATTTTTAACCTAAAACCTAAACCCAACTTTTACATTACTTACTATTAATAAACATAGTACTTTATTAAGCTAGTTGTTTTGTTAATTCAGTAAATTGTGACAGACTAAAATGTTACCGAAAATTGATAAAACTGTTATCTTCTCTCCATTAAACAGTACTTTTGAGTTTTTAATTCTTCTTCAAGTATTTCCCAGGAAAGGTAATCATTTTGACATTTTAAATTAATTTATGCAATTTCACATTTGTCAAGTGTGTGTAATAATAATTGCAAAATTTCAGCTGGATTATGCAAAATATCTTATTATTCCCAGTCAGCAGCTTACTGTAAACGGTAACTGGCTGGCAACGTAATATTTTTTTAATATTAAAATGATCCTGGGCAACACGGTGGCTCAGTGGTTAGCACTGTCACCTCACAGCAAGAAGGTTACTGGTTCGAGTCCCGGTTTGGTCAGTTGGTATTTCTGTGTGGAGTTTGCATGTTCTCCCCGTGTTCGTGTGTTTTTTTTCTAAGTGCTCCGGTTTCCCCCACAGTCCAAAGACATGCGGTATAGGTGAATTGAATAAACTAAATTGACTGTAGTTTATGACTGTGTGTGTGTGTGTGTGTGTGTGTGTGAGGATGTCTCCCAGTACTGGGTTGCAGCTGGAAGGGCACCTGCTGTGTAAAACATATGCTAAATAATTTGGCAGTTCATCCCGCTGTGGTGACCCCTGATGAATAAAGGGACTAAGCCGAATGTAAACGAATTAATGAAAATGACCCTTTCCCAGAGATGGGTTGTGGCTGGAAGGTCATCCACTGCGTAAAAACTTGCTGGATTAGTTGGCGGTTCATTCCGCTGTGGCGACCCCAGATTAATAAAGGGACTAAGCCGACAAGAAAATAAATGAATGAATGAATGAAAATGACCCTGTCGTTATGTTATCCAGCCTTACAGTCAAAATAACTCCGGTCATTAAATAGCACTTAATATCAGACACACAGTCATTATCATAATCAACTGACAGCTATTTCCCTTTGTTGACATGGTCACCTGCACAACACAACAGAAGTACATCCAAACAAACCGAACTAGCAAGCTTTTGTGATAGCAGCCTTTGTTTGTGCAAAGTGCATTTGTCGGTTCTCTACATGAAAGCCTGCTGAACTCTTATCTTTTTGCCTGAGCTTGTCTCTGAAAGGGATTTATAGGTTATGTACTAAGAGGGCAGAGTCGCGTATTTGTTAACTCATGACAAAGGAGTGTCCATTTCTGAGTTTAAAACCCTTCAACCGTATCATATGGAAAATCTGAATCAATGCCAAGCCTTTTCAGGCTGTTTGTCAGTGATACGAAAAGCCGGTTTCGAAAGCAGGAGCTTGAAAACAATCAGTAAAAATGCTTGGCATCAAAAACAACACTTGGAGGCAAAAGCGCTGCTTGAACGGTGCCCTGTTCAAGCCTGCATGGCTCCGAAAACACAAGGGAGATCCAGTACCTGCGTGCCAATAGCTGGAGGATTGTTCTTTTTCCCTCGCTTTATGATTTCCTCACAGTACGCCATCCCTCTAATTGCTACGTTTTTGGTTGCACAATCTGAAATGCTGGTTTCAGAGTGACCCAAATGCCTTCTTTCATCAAATATCGAGTTTCTTTATAGGGGTTGGTTTAAAATGAATGGAATTAAACGTGATGTTATGATTGTGGGACGATTGTGTTACGGAGTGGGGCACAGGAGGTCTTACCTGTCCTGCAGTGTCACAGAGCTGCAGTCTCACTGGCTGACCGTCCACCTGTACGACCGCTGGAGGAAAAAGAGGAGGGAAACAATGAGTCATTTTACTGCCAACACACACACACACACACACACACACACACACACACACACACACACACACACACACACACACACTGGTTTCCATTTAGTCAGCTGACATGGTAAACAAAACAAACAGCCATGAGACTTCAGCTGTAAATAAGACATACTTATAAAGCTTTTAGGATTAAAACATGATTTGAATGATAAACACTTTCCCTTAAATTATAATATAAATATTAAACTATATACAAAGACAAGACATAGAATAACATATTGTAGAACTCATTATTTAGTAATTTAAATAAGAATGAATTATAATAATAAATTAACAAATGTAAATAAATAATACTTTCATATAATGGACTAACAGATAATATAAAAAAGGTTTATAATAATAGCAACATCAAAAACAATATTTTCTTAAAATGTTTGTAATATAAGATAACAAGATAACAACAACTATTATCATTATTGTTGCCATTATTGTTATTAACAACAACAACAACAACAACAACATAAACAACAAAACAACAACAACAACAACAACAACAACATAATAATAATAATAATAATAATAATAATAATAATAATAATAATAATAATAATAATAATAATAATAGAGGATTAAAAATAATAATTATTATTATACAAATAATACTAGTAATAATGAATAAATTATTATTATTATTATTATTATTATTATTATTAATAATAATAATAATAATAATAATAATAATAATAATAATAATAATAATAAAGAATTGTAAATAACAATTCTTTATAACAATGTTTTGAAATAAAAGAATCATAAAAGTTTTACTTCAACTATTGCTACTAATACAAATAATATTATTAATAATATTATTATTAATAATAATAATAATAATAATAATAATAATAATGGATTACAAATAATAATAATAATAATAATTATACAAATAATAATAGTAATAATAATAAATAAATGATTATTATTATTATTATTAATAATAACAATAATAAAAAAGAATTGTATATAACAATACTTTTAAACAAGGTTTTCAAATAAAAGAATCATAATGGCATAAAAGTGTTACTACAACTATTACTACTAATACAAATACTATTAATAATAATAATAATACTTATTATTATTATTATTGTTATTATTATTATTATTATTATTATTATTATTATTATTATTATAACAACAATAAAACCAATAATAAAAACCATACACCCCCACGAACATGATACAGATCTGCAGTTTAGATATAATGCATGTTCTGCATCTCATTGTTCATGCATTGCTCATATCTGTAGGTCTGAGTGTGCAGTTAAATCCGACTGTTCATTCCAGCAGGCCTCAGTAAAGTGATCTGCTGATGCTCCGTCACTTCAAAGTGTTCAGAGCCCATTGTATAATAGTCTCCAAATCCCTGTCATATGATCGGTCTTTAATTTGGCCCCTTCGCCCCAGTGCGGCACCTGTTGAATTGCGTAACTGCTCTGAAGCCAGTGAGGGTGACGTCGCCTATGGCTCCAGCAGGAGACCCAATTGATTTTAGGGCTCAGATGTTTAGGATTGCGATATTGCGCAACAGGTTTAGAACTACAAAGACAGGCTTGTGGGAATTTAATGGGGATCTGACCATGACTGGCTCTTGTTTGACATCCATTCACAATTTATGCAGGATGGCGTGATGTTTAATAACTCTTTTATATAAAAGCTGCAAACTTTTTAGTAGTTTTGGCCATTAGTTTACATGTCAACAGTGTTTGAATGGCAATATTTTCATTTCTGGTGAACCATCCCTTTTAGAACTGTATGTGCTCTGTGCACAAACGTTTCTTTACAAAAGAACTTTGCCAACTTTGATTGGCAGGCAAAATGACTAAATTTGTTGAGAACATTATTGTCTGTGTGCAAAACCTTTCAAAATTAAAACATAAAGCTTGTAAATTGTTGTCTTGTAAACATACCCTCATATGCAACGTGCTCTTTGATTAAAAAAATATTTTACCATATGATCTTTAAAGAACTTTCATTAGGTTATAAAATTTGAGTCTGCATTAAGTTCTTATACTTTTTATAAATATGATTTTTTATAAATATGTGTATATTTTAGTTATAGCCAATTTATTAACTAAAGACATGAAATACTTAAAGATTTGTTTAACTGAGAAAATCTAAATTAATAATGCTAATGTTTATTTTTGTACATTTTTAAGAACAAGTAGTGCTAGTGACTTTTTAGTCCATTTCTCTGTGTTGTTGTTGCAGTTCTTGACTTTTAAGTGTCTACATAGTTTTTATCTAATATTGTTTTGATTATTAGATTTGAAAAAAAAATACAAATAATAATAGTAATAATAAATAAATGAATATTAATAATAATAATAAAAATAATTAAAAAAGGATTGTAAATAACAATACTTTATAACAATGTTTTGAAATGAAAGAATCATAATGGCATAAAAGTTTTACTACAACTATTACTACTAATACAAATTGCATTAAGTTCTTATACTTTTTATGAATATGATTTTTTTATAAATATGTCTATATTTTAGTTATAGCCAATTTATTAACTAAAGACATGAAGTTTGATTAATAGATTTGAAAAAATAATAATATATATATATATATATGGCTAATACTTAACAAAAACAGTTTGTTTAACTTTAAATTTTATTTTAAAAACACAAAAAATATATATTTATTCAAATTAGAAAATACCTGAAGTTATTTTAATGACACTTTTCCAAGTCAAACAAATAAATAAACCAAAACATTAACAAAAAATGAGCTGAAAGTTTATAAATCGTGTCCAAAATTAGGGTCAAAATGTTCTGGTGATGAAATGCATTGCTCTGCTATAACACATAGAAATGGCTTCAATTACTGAAAAAAGGTTTTAGCCTACCAAAACAACTAAGATATTCACAAATGTAAGTTTGTTTTTTGTTGTTTGCAGCTGATGCGCTGCAGTACACCAACCCACACTCACCTGAGAAGTCGTCAAACGCTGTCGGGACATATTTTGTTGGATATCCATTGGTTGTGTAGCTTACAATGAGGCTGGTTTTTCCCACAGCCCCGTCCCCGAGAAACACGCACTTAAGCAGGCGGCCCTGGCAGTGCGCGGCTGACGGAGACTGGGGCATGTGCGGGGGAACCGGAGGCGCCATCAGGTTACTGTAATCCATGACCGGACCGCAGGTGGCTCGCGCACTCCCGATGGAGTGACCCGAGGAAAACACATTAAAAACAGCACTTTATAAAGAACTGGCCCCTACGAGCGCTGCGTGAATACGCTTGCTTGGCTGCAAGACGTGTAAACAGTCAATAAATCCCAAACACTCAAGAAGGTCTCCACGGACAACTAGAAAGTTCTCTTGCTCTACAACTACTGGGTGAGGAGTGAGAAAGGCAGCTTTTATAGTCAGCTTTCATTTGACTAACTCCTCCCACTTCACATGGCTGATTTAATATTCATAATGTGCCACCAAAAAGATACAATAATAGCGCGTTGAAAGATTTCTGCTTGTGAACGCTACGCTTCCTTTTTATTAAAACTGATTTAAATGACGCAGTCTTATTTACAGTGAATTATGTGTCTGTAGATTTTGTTTAATAGATTATTGCAAGTAAGCAAACACAAACATTTATTAAAGGAAAAGTGCATTTTAAATAAGCCAGTAAATGTATATTTTTATTTAATGCATATTTTCTTTAGTTCAATGCATATTTTCATATTTCTTTATTTGAAATAATATTATGTATATGGCAGAGAAAACAGGCTCATTGGGGTCGCAAAGCACCTGTTTCACTGTGGAATTTAGGAAAACCGCCTCTTAAATTAGTTTATTTTCAATAGGAATATAAATATATGACAATTATTATTGTCACATGTTACATGTGGCAAGCAAAATAAACAGCATAGAAAAAAAACATAAAATGTAGAGATTGCACTTACATTACGCTGTAATGATAATTTGTTAATGTAGGCCTAATTATATTAAACTATAGCCTAACTATAAGCAAAACTGAATAAAGTAATATAACCTTTTTCAAATCTCTTGCCATTATTTCCTTAATTTTGCAACGACGCATTACTGATCTTTTCTGCCATCTGCCGGTCATAAATTAAAACACATTAATTTAGAAAGTGCTTGATATAATAAATAAACAAATTGCACTTAAAACGATAAAATATCAGTTGGCCTATTATATATTTCCTTTATTTTATATAGTTAGAACGTTTTTTTTTATGTCTAGTACTGTATGTCTGTCATTTTTAAGCATAGTTTGTTTCTGTAAAACATAATATTACATAACAAAGTCATCTTTGGGATAAAGCCAGGGAAATTGATTATTTGTCCAGCTCAGGCTTTACATCTCCTTTATAATTGGTCTCATTCTACTTAAAAGCATATATCAGGAGGAGATAAGCTGATCTTTATGGTCAGACCAAAGGCAGGGGCGGGGACCCATGTTGCTCTTAAAGACAGCACATAAAGTACGAAGTGCAGCAGTCAGATGTCATCTCATCTGAACAAACTCCATATGTGACAACGTAAAATGTGTAATTCTTTTATAACTTGTTTAGCTTAAGTTATGAAACTGTAATAATAAGTGCTGAATTGACCATTAATTTACATCAGCAACTCGTAGCCTTTTTATAAAGAAAAAAAAAAAACATTTTTTCTTATAAATCATTGCAAATAATCGTTTTGTTAAAAAATAATTTTTTAATTTTTTTGTAAAAAAAATAATTTTTGTTTATTTAATGCAATTTCTGATAAGATATATGTGTGTTTTCGCGGACAAATATGTCCAGTATTGTCAATACACGAAACAGCTTTTGAACATTTAACTTTTTTTAATTACAAAACAGCTGTTGAGGTCGGTAAACACGACGCATTGGAGAGAAAAAAACTTATTTTCCTTGCGAAATTGTTGCATGTATTTATTTTTGCGGGATTGGTTAGCAACATTTGTAGGGCTACATGTTTTTAAACACTCAACTATGATTAGTGTAACAAAACCGTGTTTAATCTATAGTTCTCAGTTAATTACAAAAACATAAGCTAGTTGCCCACAAATAACATATAACAAACCCGTATGCAGTAGCACATGTATGATAATAAATGGGTAATTCTTCAACCACGGTCACTTTATATGTCCTTAATATATATATAATTTTGTTCAAATTAAAATTTTTGTAAAAAAAAAAAAAAAAAAAAAAAAACTAACAATAAAACCTACTTAAAAAATGTACTACCTTTCTATTATATTTTTTCATATTATTCAACCTCCTTTTAGATGTCAAAATCACTGTTTTCACCTTGTCGCACACCCAGAGTTTTAAACTTCAACAATAAGAAGTGACATTTTAAAATATTATTTATCTTGTATAAATTAATGTATCTAAATAAAGCAGTAGTAAAGTAATGTAAATATTTTATAGTTATTAATGTGAGACTATTATCAATAGAGTTTTTTTTATACAAAATATAGCTGTCACACGGTATCAGTGTCATTTCCAAACTAATTAAATTAATATTAAATTTTAGAATGTGACGGGTGTACAATTCAGCATACAACTAATTTTCATTGATAAATGTATATATATATATATATATATATATATATATATATATATATATATATATATATATATATATATATATATATTGTGGAAAGATTTGTTAAACTAGATACAAAAATGATCTTGGACAATGTTTGACTGCCATCATTTATTTCATTTTGAAATAAAAGCTGTATATTGTGATTTGGTGAAATTGACATTTGTTCAGTTCACGATGGAAAAAAAAAAGTTTCTCTTATCTAAGTTTGTCCTCTTACAGATTTTAAACTAGACAAATTGTTTAAACTTATGAGGCTGTTACGTTAATTTTGAGCAAGTTTTTTTTACTCAACCTCACAAGGCTAAAAGTGCCGTGATTGAAGAATGGCTTATATACACTGCATATATGCGCATATGCCACATATAGGCAAAATTAAGGTGCTTATGTGTGCAAAGCAGGCAGTGGCGGAGTGGGACAGCATTTTCAACGGGGAAAAGTAATTAAAGGTCATTCCAAAATTGAAGGGGTGGGGGGTCAGGATCAGGATCCCTGTGCTCCCGATGGCCAGTCCGCCATATTGATCCTGTATTGCTTCTTTATCCCTATATTTTCATACAAGATTTGTCTTTTATACAGCTATTATGACAACTGTCATACCTACCTAGCTTTTGTATTATCAAGGCAAAAATGCAAAAAAACTTTTGTGTGTGAACACTTGGAATTAATTCATTAATTTTCTTTTCGGCTTAAGCCTGGTTTATACTTCTGCATCAAGTGATCGGCGTCACCCTCGGCACATGCAACGTGCGCAGCTGTGCATTTATACTTCTGCACGCTTTTTCTGTTGTTCTGCAATAACGCTTCCGAAACACTAGTTGGCAGTGAGGCATTTATATTCCTCTGTGTCGAGTTTCTTCGCTGGTGTTTTATTTTTTCTGAACACTTCCTTAATGTACAAGTGGCTCAAACTCGCTCATTTTGAGGCAGGAACTGGCAGGCCTGCGACATCTTTAACCGTGAGGTAAACACAAAACAAAACTTTCCATTCACAGGACTCCAAACTTAAAACTCTCGATCCCACCCAGACTCGTCAGCGCTACAAAGCCGACCAATCACAGAGCTTGCGCTACGCGTCGTTGCGACGTGTAGTTACATTTTTTGAGAGGTGCCCATCAGCGACGCCGACGGCCAACGAGTAGGTTGCGCCGTAGCACATGCATGTGCTTGACGCAGAAGTATAATTCAGCGTTTAGTCCCTTTATTAATCAGGGGTCACCACAGCAAAATGAACCGCCAACTTAGGACTGATTATACTGCTGCGTCAAGCGCACGCATATGTCAATAGTGTTGAACACTACAATTTTTAGATTTAAGTCTTAGCTGGATATTTCACTTCCCTAAGAGCTGTGTAACTACATGGAAGATCATTCTCAAAAACCCATTATAGGGGCTCTTTAACTTCTCTAAATACTTGTGAACTCCTGTGTTTAAACTGTTCATGTTGATGTTGACACTGACAAAACACTTCAGTGTGTTATTCAGTGTAAACGCACTAAATGGACATGCATAAGTAGTTTATGAGCAGTTAAGAATGGGTTAATAATGATGTTCCCCCTCCAAGTAAAGTCATAATATAATTATACATTAATATATCATGAGTTCATGATGGTTGAATTAAGCATAATCTAAAGTGGTAATCAATACATTAAATTACAAACAAGCATGTACTAACAAGAACGACTCATGCTAAGTTAGTTCATGATTAGCACATGCATTAACTCATCATTAGTTCATAATAAAGTATTTATTAGTTTACATATTCACTCATCATAACAATTATTGTAAACTAATATTATTATTGTTATTAGATTACTATTATTTATTAATACCTTATAATCTTTCAGATAAAATGCTTTAAAGAAGTAGAGTCTAGGGAAAGTTCATCCAATAAAAATAAAATGTACACATCATCACCTCATGCTCAAGAGTCTAGAGAAAGTTCATTAAAAAATCTTATCATTAACTCACACTCAAATAGTTCCTATTTTTGATTTCTTCATATTTGGGTAGTGGTTTCCAGTACATGAATAATGATGTATTAATATGTAAACTAAACATTACTTTATGTTGCTAATGAATTATTGATGAGTAATAAGGCTTGTGATAATCATTAACTAACTTGAAGGTACAACATGAGTCGCAAGAGTTCTTGTGTGAATAACGACTACCCTAATTACTTGTTAGTACATGTTGTTTGTTAATGTATTAAATAACATTTAAGATTAAGCTAAATGTTACCAACATGAACTCATGAGCTGTTAATGTATACAGTTAAAGTCAGAATTATTAGCCCCCCTTTGGATTTTTTTATTATTATTTAAATATTTCCCAAGTGATGTTTAACAGGGCAATGATATTTTTACAGTATGTCTGATAATATTTTTTCTTCTGGAAAAAGTCTGATTTGTTTTATTTCGGCTAGAATAAAAGCAGTTTTAAATTTATACAACATTTTAAGGACAAAATTATTAGCCCCTTTAAGCTATTTTTTCATAGTCTACAGAACAAACCATCATCATACAATAACTTGCCTAATTACCCTAACCTGCTATTTAACCTAAATAACCTAGTTAAGCCATTAAATGTCATTTTAAGCTGTATAGAAGTTTCTTCAAAAATATATAGTAAAATACTTACTGTCATCATGGCAAAGATAAAATAAATCAGTTATTAGAAATGAGTTATTAAAACTATTATGTTTAGAAATGTGTTGAGGAAATCTTCTCTCTGTTAAACAGAAATTGTGAAAAAATAAAAAATAAACAGGCGCTAATAATTCAGGGGGGCTAATAATTCTGATTTCAACTGTAATTATATTATGACTTTACTTGGAGGGTCACATCATCGTTAACTCATCCTTAACTACTAATGAACTTCTCTGTTTAAACTACACTTTTCTATTGTTATTTAGTGTAAACAACATAGTTAGACATGCATAAGGAGTTCATGAGTAGTTAGGAATGGGTTAATGATGATGTGCCCCTCCAAGTAAAGTCATGATATAAGTATATACTAACATATTATGAGTTCATGATGGTTAAATTCAGCATGAACTAATGGGGTAATTAATACATTAAGTAACAAACAGAGTCTAGGGAAAGTTCATCCGAAAAAACAAAATCTTCATGTTTGGGTTGTAGTTTCCGAACATTCTTCACAATCTCTTAATTTGTATTCAACAGAAAAAAGAAACTTAAACAGGTTTGGAAAATAAAGCTAGTCATTAACCCACACTTTCAAAACGTCACCACACTATTTTAGGGTTGTTATGTTTCTGACGACATTTGACTGGTGAATTCGTTCTGCCACAAAAGGTCAGAAGCTCAACTGACCTCACTGATACGCCATGTGAATCTTCAGTGCTCAAAGGTCAGCAGTCACACATGTACTGCATCAATGATGGCTTTGACAAAAGGTTTGGGTACTTCACTCATTTTTTTTCCTTCCCAATAAAATAACACCAAGGAGACAAATCATTGGAAAAGAAAATAACATTGTGGCTTTAATAGCTCTTGGGTTCATTAACAGGCGTTATCTGTCCACACATACACACAAACACAATGAGATATTCTGAGACTGTCAGAAGTAAAAACCTCATCCAAAAAACTGGTCCTGCTGGTCAACTGCAGTCAATATGGTTTCCAAAAAGTTCTGATTCATATTTTCACTGCTGTTACTTCACTGAAGTCATCCATGTTTGTTCAGATAACTCTCAAGGGGCTATGGCAAGCCATTTAAGCATTTCAAAAACTGCACTAGCATCTATGTCCATGCTATTAATACATATTTTTTTTTTAGAAACTAGTATATTTTAAATGAATCCCTTTATGAGTGTGCAAGTATTTTAATATAACTGTCATTTGGAACGTGTCACTTTAAAGATGCCATGGTGACGTCAAGTTTATCACATGAAACACCTCAGCCTCAATGAAATATATCAATATATTGATTTTCTTTTTATTATTTATGCTTTTATTTTCTGCAAATATTGACAAACATCCTAGATATAGTGTTATATATCTGACATTCAGATTCTCAAATATGTTTAAGAATGTGTTTTGTGATTTAAAGAGCTTAATACTGATCATATTATTTGATCTGTGATGGGTGTTGTGTTAGTCTGCACTGCAGGGGAGAGATGAGAGCTGCTGGATTCACAACATGTTAATTCATCAACTTCTCCTGTAATACATGAAAGTGAGCGTTTAACTGCGAGAAAAATAAACATTCTAGTAATATAAACAGTGCATATGTGACATGAATTGAGTACATAAAAAAAGGTTATTATTGCCATCTTCATAGACATCTATGGGCCCTATCATACTTCCGGCGCAATGTGGAGCAAGGCACGATGCAATTGTTGTTTGCTAGTTTCAGCTTGGCGCAAGAGTCGTTTTGACGTTTTGCGCCACGCTGTTTAAATAGCCAATGCATTCGCGCTCATATGTGTGCCCATAGGCGTTCTGATCTGAAAAGGGAGGCGTGTTGAGGCGCATTGCTGGCGCGTTGCTTTTTTGAGAAACTATAATAGTCTGTTTTATGGACCAGAACAAAGCCGGTCTAAAGTCCAGCGCAGAGTGCGTTAGTTGTGCGCCTCGCTTACACACTGCTTAATGCACACAAGATGTAGAGCAATACGCAAATATCTTTACATTTAAAAAAGAATTTAAATATTAAGGATATATTAAATATATATTAAGGATATATATAGGATATAAATATAAAGGATTAAAGTATTACAAAACATATTATTTTCTAGCCTACATAAATATAAAAAGCATACTTTCATGCCTTTTTCATCTCGGGAGGCTTTTTCAGTTTATTCAAGACAATTTGCTTTTGTATAATGTAATTATTATTAGTAGTATTATTTATTATATTCATATTTATATTTGTTTTATTAAAAACAAGCTTAGATTTGCCCACCTGTCAGGTTTTAGACCATATGGGGCACAGCATATGTATTTGGATATAACTCAGTTTTTTGACCACACTTCGTTATTATTGTTCATTTTTGAAACAAGTCTTTGCGCTTAACAAACAAAATTAATTATGTATAGGCTAATGGATGTCTGTGCATACAAGGTTTCCCTATCCACGAGAGCGAATGTAAAAGTAAATAATGAGAAGGCTGATCTCTCATTCTAACGCTGCAGATGCTCTGTTTAACGTTTTTCTCGCTAGTGAAATACTCAGTTTTTCCACTTACAAAGTCTGTCATGTAAATAGCAAATGGTACATGTTTGATTAGGGTTGGAGCTAAACTTTCCATTACACCGGCCCTCCAGGACCGAGTGTGGACACCCCTGATTTAAGGTGACGAAGTTACACATGTTCTATGCACTTACTATAGCAATTACAATGAATTATGTATTAGTATATAATTAATTAATATTACACTGTAGTTAAATGTATAATTACACTGTAACTATGTCACCTTGAATTAAATTTTAACCTTAGATACTAGTCCTTACTATTAGTTACTAGTACTTGTTCATTTGGTTCTCATACCTATTAATTAGGTAAAGTTTCTAAAAAATATCTGATGAATAATTAGTAGTAGCAGTTAGAACAACATAAGCTTATTCTGAAAATGTACCCCTATATATACATTTCTGGAGATCGCAAATTATGTAGCCAGAGGAACCTATGGCTGCATTTTGACTTTAAAACGAATGATACGGGTCGGTATGACACAGTTCTTTTTGGGCTACCAGCTGACCACTTGATTCCATATGGTCGGCTTTTCCGCACTTTGTCCTGTGGCTTGCCACGTATGTCTGAGAATTTGAGATGCAGAGCGTAGTTGACCGTGACGATGCCATTCAAGTCCAGCGAAGAACAGTTCCAGAAAGTAGGTAAGACAAAAACAAAAGCCAAAAAATTGAACAACAAGGAATTAACAGTGTGAAAATGTGGTAAAATCTGAAAACGTGGTAAAAATCAGGCTGCCACGAGGGCTTTTCGTATTCTGGATTGTTTTGAAAACACTGTTGGATGGGTTTAGAGAAATGGACGGGCGCTGGTCAATCGGTGGTTTTTAAAACACTGTTGGTTGAGTTTAGGGAAGAAGAAGGGTGGTCAGTCGATTAGTCAGCCAGTCAGTCAGACAACAGCGGCCTTTGGTAGATTTACATGAGAACAGCAGGTGCGAATGGCACTCGCAAGAGAAATTCGAGGTCTGAAAAAACGCACACAAAAAAAAAAAACTGCAAAAAAAAAAAAAAACTGCAAAAAAAAAAAAAAAAAAGAAGTAGCTCCTGGGATGTATGTGGTGCTCTCCAGAAATGTATATAGAGGTATGTAATCAGAATAAGTTTGGGTTGAATTACGAAGATACTAGTATCAAAAGGCACTAATACCTAAAGAAAAGAAGTAGTAGTTTCTAATAAATAAATACTAGTATATTTTAATAAAAACACTAATATTTACTATAAGAATATAAAGTAAAGTATCAGTAACATGAAAAAAGATGCTATTATTATTTTTCTTTTACAGATGAAATGTTAAAACAGCTTGCCATACAGGGACCATTATTGAGTATCTTGGTCTGTGTTTCATTCATACACTCATACTGACACTGAAGTGTGTAAATGAAAACATGTCTTTCACTTATTCAAATTCCAAAGCCATAGAAGCAGATTGTCCTCCATTAAATACGTATTTCCTCCCATATAAGGCCGTGTGTCATAAACCCCTCCCTTACTGCTGCAGGGGTGGGACTCTGAGCACAGACTGCGAATTAAGACATTTTTGAGTGACAGCGCATGGCTCCTCCTCTTCTGTGTGGTTTGTCTCAATGGGCTTTGGGTTTAGCTCCACCAGGGGTGGGATCTGGAGGTGGTCCGCCACCCTGGGTCAGGCGATAAAAGCTGTTTGACAGAAAAATATTATTAATAAAATAAAAATAAAAAACTATCATAATATAGCTTGTGCTATTTATTGGTTTATGGGGATCAGAACTGGTTAATAAACTATATGATCAGAAGCATACTGAAGCATACAGTAAATATAAAAGGAAGAGATGTAGCAGTGCTAGCACTAGATGGCGCTGTACTCACAAGTCCTTGATGTTGTCAATTTGGGCTTGAACTGCTACAATGCAGCTGTCCACTTTATCCTGTAAATGAAGAGAGTGATATTAGCTGATACATTTTAACAGTAACAACAATATGCATCATGTATCTGCATATAAATAGTGATTCAATTTACGAAAACATAAACATTGTTGATAGATATGAAGATATTGTAATACATGCATATAGTATAGTGAATCCAAAGTTCTATTTTTGTATGGCAAGCTGTTTTAACATTCAGCCTATAAAATGTGTAGGTATTTTTTCCATTAGTACTATCCCTTATTCATTAGATACTACTTTTTATACCTATTGAGTAGATGCAAGTACTGCACTTATTCATTACATATTAGTTCATACTGGTTGCTAGTTTTTTCAAAAAACAAAAGTAATTAGTCATTTTGATTTTGACATTGTAACATTAACTATTTAGATTTAACCAATGAATTCCAAAATGGGACGTATATTTTATATACAATATAATATACGGATATATTACCTGGTGACGGGTGTAAAACAAAGGGACAGAGAAGACTGCAATCACACCTGAAAATAACACAAAAAAACAAATCTAAGCCTCAATACATCAATAAATAAAGTTATGTTTATGTATGAGATGACTTTTTGGTGATTAAACGTTGAAACATTCATAGCTAGCAGGCCCGGCCCTTACCAATTTGGCGCCCTAGGCAAGATTTCAGGGGGCGCCCAGTCACATCGCAGTAAACTCCACTGCTAGTGTATAGTCATGAGAAACTAAATAGCTTACGACTACTACAAGCTGGGAAAACGTCAGATAAATATGCCAATGCAATTAACGTTATTGCTGAATAGATCTAATATCTACACATTTGCTTGAGGAAGGAATGCTGGGGGTAGTTACAATACTATTACTATTTTCCATAACATCTATGCCCTTCCATAACAATAGCTGACGTTAAAACTAACAGAAAGCACTAAAGCTATTTACTGATTCGCAATCTGTCAAGGTTGGGATGTAAAAAATAAGGAACAAAAAATTGCATCAAATGATAGAATACATAGCAAACATTAGAAAATATTGACAATAAAATAAAAGGTTGAGCCTATTAAAATCAATGGCCTATACAGAAATTAAATAAAGCTATAAAACCTGCATCACTTTTAATTGTATTTGCATATTGATTAAAGTTACTATAGTTATTTAGTGAAGAGCAGCAAGTGAATCTCTCATTGTGTTTTGTTTGATAACAGAGGAGTTAATGTAAAAATGCACAGATCTATAATGAAACATTCGACTACTTTAGTAACTGTGCTCATTTAAGAGAAAATTAGTAGTGTTTTAAATGAAGCATGCAGGATGGAGCAAAAAAAAAAAAGAGGAAAAAGAAGCACTTTTCCGTCGGTCCCTTACTGATAGCACCGCTCAGCACGAGCTCTCCCGCCTAAACGCAGATTGCGAGGGCTCAAACGGAGCAGTGGTCGTAATGTTGACCGAAAAAAAAGAAGAAGAAGACAGCTTTAAAAGATAACCAGGTTTGTCTTTTAGTAGGAAACACACTTTAGATCTTTTTAGGGTAAGAGGTTTTTGAGTTATTGCCGTCTATCACAGAATGTGTCAGGAATATCAAAAACAAAACCAACTTAACCGCGCTCATTTCTGGTGCCCCCCTGGATGTACAGCGCCCTTAGCATTTGCCTAAGCTGCCTATGCCACGGGCCGGCCCTGCTCAGTCATTCAATGAAATCTGATTCAGACTGTTTCAGTTCATGTGTTTTAATCTAAATGATTCATTTGAAAAACAGAATCGTCTCTAAAGAGTCGTTCGCTCATTATCGTACTGGTTTCGATTCACCGCAACAAAAATATAGCTGCAGCTATGTGACATTGCCCGACCCACCTTTGTTCACTGTGCGACCCACTAGTGGATCGCGACCCACAGTATGAAAATCCCTGAGCTAAAGTGTCTTTAGTATACATGCGTATGTCATGGTCCTCCAGAGTGGGGGTTGAGCGTTGAGCTAACGACCCACCTCGTAAAAATTTGATGTTGCCAAACTTCAACATGATGCAGCTAAATATAAACATCAATATAAAGAGCCCAGTGAGTAAAGAATATAAAAGCTGAAAAAAAATGTAAGTTTAGTCAATTAGCCATTTTAAGTTATCTGTACATAAACATTTAAGTTATCTGTAACTAAACATTTAGGTTAATTCAACAAAGAGACCACATTTGGTCAACTCAATTAATTGTTGATTTCCCATTACTCAAATGTACTTTCCACTGCACACAACATTTGGACACGTCTGTCGGAATATGCCGCCTTGTGGAATTTTCAGTTTTGTCGTGAACCATGAGAGAGAAGCTGTTCTCGCAGTGTCCAAAATAAAAGAGTGCAAAAGCGAGAGCTATTATTCTCCGTGCATTCACCATGGTTGAATAATTGAATGAATGAATACTAGAAACTCAGAGACCGCTAAAATATTGGAGGGAATGTGGAGACAAAATAAAACATTTTATTTTTATTACTTTATCACTAACATTAATGAACAGAAATGTTTTTTTTATGTAATATGGACTTTTTCTGATTCAAAAAAATAACCAAATAAACTCCTACAGTATTTCTCATCTCACGCACAGAGACCTGCTTGTACAACACTGGAATACGGTCCAAACGGTCTAGTCGCAGGAGTTCAAATATTTCAACGGATCCGCAGCTCAATTCGGATCCGAATTTTCCTAAAACGGAGATGATCGGAACTCCAAGCAGCTCCCAGACTACATTGGAAATGAATGACCTCCGGTCTGTCGCTTGTCACTTGTCATGTGCAATGGAAAGCAGGCTTTAGGGAATCACTTTCCTCAAATCATTTGAGTAGTCTCAACTTATTAGGGTTTACAGTGCAGTGCAAAACACATGAAATATTTCCCATTTACAGTTAAAAATATTCATGTGAACAACCACTAAAAGTAAACGTGCATCCTACCGATGATGATCAAGGTAAGGCCATTGCAGAGGTTCCCCAGAAACGTGACCACATACATCAGCAGCCAGAACTGTGGAAAACAACAAACATTTCATTACTCGATTCCTCAGTGTTTGTGTAAACAGAGTGCACAGAAAACACACATCTGATTCCACAAGCCACTTCAACATTCTGTCAAAGCTCTACATCTACTGCGGGATGTGTCGATTGGAAGGTTTTTATCAAACACTGTGCTTTAGGCCCACAGAGAAAATCTTTCCCGTTATATCTCTCAGTGTGGAGTTTCTTGTCTCGCAAGTCTGAAACTGGAAACGGCACTCAGGACAAGACCCTCTTTATCCTCCCGTCTCATGCTACATAAGACCACATGTGTCCCATGTCACATTCCACACAGGTCATAGTGTGACTCTGTGACACCCCGAAACTGGAGGACTGTTTCAGTCTGCTGAGTGCTAGGCTCAATATTTCAGTCAGTTAGATCAGAAACATTGCAAAATCTTTTCTCCATCATTTAAAAAAAGGGTAAAAAAAGGGTAAAAAAAATTTCAGTGTGGCTGCCGTCAGATGCATTTCTCATATATTACACACTATAACATGCACTTTACATTAAAAATGCAATAAATAGTTAAAATGTTCAGAGTAGCCTATTTGCATAAATAAGTAATGTATATTTGTTGTTAACGCATGTTAATTTATTTAAAGTTATTCAACTAAAACTGTAAAAAGGAGGGGGGAACCTATTTCTTGTTATGTTTAGCTTGGGAATTATTTCATTGTTGCAATCAAGATATTCTTCCGATGCACTTCAAGTACTACAGCTACAAGGTGCTGTGCTAATAACATGGTTACAAGGATTAAGAAGTACAGAGAAGTTTGTTAAAGAGAAACTGCAACCCTTCAAATTTATTCCTTTTGAGTTAAAGAGGCCAATGAGGTATGTCAAATAGTGTTAACGTATGTGAACATGTATGATTATGTGTCCGTATGTTAATGTATAATTAGCCAATTAAGTGTCTTTCTTTACATGTTGAATGTGCACTTTATCTTTTGGTTGTATGTATGTTGTTGATTACGTGCAACATCACCTTTAAAGGGTTAATTTAAGTTTATGTATTTCTTTTCATAGTTCTGTCGGCATTATTAGGACATAAAGGAGTGCAAGGCTAGATTGTACAAGACATAGTACAGACTTAAGTCCGAATAAATGTCAGTTAAAATCAAGAAGGATTTGAGCCTTTGTTTCATCTCGAGGGGAGTAACAGTCAGTGTTAAACAAAAAAGAATAATGCTTGTTTTTTTTTTGTTCTTCACTTTCACTATAACTTACACTATAACACTGTACACTACCTGACAAAAGTCTTGCCATCGATTTCACTTGTAAGAGCAACAAATAATAACTTGACTTCTAGTTGATCATTTGCAAAAGTGGCAGATGGTAGATTTGTCTGATGAATCATCTGTTGACCTGCATCCCAATCATCACAAATACTGCAAGACCTATAAGAACCCACATGAACCCAAGATTCTCACAGAAATCAGTCAAGTTTGGGAAAGGAAAACTCATGGTTTGGGGTTACATTCAGTATGGGGGCATGCGAGAGACCTGCAGAGTGGATGGCAACATCGAGAGCCTGAGGTGCCAAGACATTTGAGCTGCCCATTACATTACAAACCACAGGAGAGGGCAAATTCTTCAGCAATATAGCGCTCCATCTCATACTTCAGCATCCATATCAAAGTTCTTGATAGCAGGTCAAGGCGCTCTAGTATTGGGCAGCCTGCTCACCAGACATGAACATTATTGAGCATGTCTGGGGTTAGATGAAGGAAGCGTTGAAGATGAATCCAAAGCATCCTGATCAACTCTGGGAGTCCTGCAAGGCTTTCTTTTTCATTTCAGAAGATAAATGCGTTATTTGAGTCATTGCAGAGATGTATGGATGCAGTCCTCCATGCTTATGGGAGTCATACACGATAATAATTTTTTTTTTTTTTCACTGCACCATAACTTTATATTCTTAAAAAATCAGACCTTACTGTCCTAATGAAATAATTAAAAATCAATGCATGATCATATTTTATTTTGGTAAAATAAGCGTAATCTAGAGGCCTTTGCCTTTCATATTAGCCACTTCTGATACCAAATTATCAAATAAGTCAAGTTATTATTTATAAATAAAACTAAAAACTGGGATAGGCGACAAGAGCATATCACATTCTGATGATACCATAAACATTATTATTTAATTTTTTACCTTTCTACGTTTTTTCACCTTTCTAAATTAGTTTGTTTACATAATGCACATATATCTATGGTACAGTACAGTGCATATATTGCACTTTAAGCTAAAAAGAACATTAATATCTTGCTAAATAACTAGTAAAAATTATGAAAATTTGTTCTAGCAAAGAAATTAGTGACTAAAACGATTATGTTTTCAAATGTTTTCTGTCTGTTAAACAAACATAACTTGAATGTATATAAACTCACACATATTTTTCTCTATATACAGTTAAAGTCAGAATTATTAGACCCCTGAATTATTACCCACTGTTTATTATTTCTGTTTAAAAAAAAAAAAAAACAACTGCTTTTATTCTAGCCAAAATAAAACAAATAGGACTTTCTCCAGAAGAAAAGTTGGTATCAGACAAACTGAAAATTTCCTTGCTCAGTTAAACATCATTTGGGAAATGATGAAAAAATTCAAAGGGGGGCTAATAATACTGACTTCAACTGTACTTACAAAACAACCTCTGATATATCTGTTCTAATATACCCACATTATTTGAACTAATTTGGACTGAAGTGCCCAAAAAACAGGGAAAAGGAAAGTTTTCTTTGCATTTTAAAGCCTTGCAAACAAGGCCTTGCTTACTTGCCACTCAGATGAAATAAAGCCATTTTAATGGATTTTAAATGTTTGGCCTAAAGGTCCTGATGGAACCATTTTTTCTATCTAAAATGTAAAATGTTTAATTATTGAAAAAATAAAAATTATTATTATTTTTGCTGTTTGTGTAGTTTGCATTAGCGCAGTCAAAATTATCATAAAAACATGAATAAAAATAATAAAAATGTCCATAAAAATGAGCAATAAATGGTTAATAACAGTTATTTTTTCTCATACGTAATTTCAGTTTGAACTCTTGATTGATTCAACATTCAATAATTTTCTTACAGCTTAGTCCCTTTTTTATGAGGGGTTGACACAGTGGAATAAACCCGTCAACTACAGTAGTGGGAAACATCAATGCACTCTCACATTCACACACACACACTCATACACTTTGGCTAATTTAGTTCATCCAATTCACCTAAAGTGCATGTCTTTGAACTGTGGAGGAAACCAAAGCACCTAGTGGAAATCCACGACATGCCCAGCTGGAAACCAGCTCGAACCAGCGACCTTTTTTTCTGTGAGGCGACAATGCTAACCACTGAGCCACCATGCCACTTATTATTATTGAGAAAATGTATTTTGAATAATCTATCTCTTTAATTAGATTGTCTTTTTATTTTCTGCCCAAGCAAAAGAACCTGGTATTATCATATCCATCCCTGCTAGAATAATGAAAAATACTTAAGTCTGCAAAAAACAAAAAGTAAACAAATAAAAATAAAACATTTATCTTTAAATTATTATACAGTACTAAAAATTAATGTTATGAATTTACTATCATACACTGTTAAAAAATGCGGGGATCCACACAATTGTGTTCAGACAGCATGAAGGAATTAAGTTAACTTATTAGTTTGCTAACACTTTATTTTAATGGTACATTTGAGTATTAGTAGACTGTCTACTTAATATCTGTTGACACTGCTGCTTCGACAAACATTTAACTGACTATAAGAAACTTTGCAAGTACATGTCAACTTACACTAACCCTTATCTATAATCTTATCTATAATCTATAGTCTTATCATCTAATGAGAATTAGTTGGCATGTCGATGCAATGCAGCTTACATTCAACAAACAGACCATCAAAATAAATTTTGACCATCAGATTTTACAAATTTAAGTGGGATGAACATAAAACAATTAAGTTGTCAAGAATTGTGTTGATTCAGCTCATTTGAAAAAAGTAGTTTGAATAAACAGTAAACATCCTTTTTGAGTGTACAGTCAACAGCGTAAAAACAAAATATCAATTTAAAATCCAGAATATTCTCTCACAATACAGATTAACGAATTATGTAATTCTGTGCCATAATCTCTGTAAGATATGATATTTAATGTCTCAAACAGACCACACAAGCTTGAAAATACAGCCTAAAACTACTGTCAGAAGTATTTCTTGTGCTAACTTTTGAGGGTAATTACAGTGACAGCTGTGAGCAACATTATTAAACTGCACAGCTGAGAGGCCTGAAATAATGACAAACCATTTCTGTCCTCTGTAGAGAAGCTTTTGTGTTTGTAGAGGCGTTTTCTTTCACACAGTTATAATGAACACATCCTCGGATTTAAAAGAATCGCATCAGAATCATAAGTATTTGTTGTATTTTGTGTGTTTAGTCTATTAGACATTTTAAATGATTTGTACTTAAATGTTTAAGTTATCTGTAATTAAACATTTAGGTTAATTTAATAAAGAGACCACATTTGTTCAGTTCAATTAATTAAGTTGTCGATGTTACAGTACTCAAACAAACCGAGGGAATCACTTTCCTCAAATCATTTAAATAGTCTCATCTTATTAGGGTTTACAGTGTATGTCAAGGAACAGGTCAAAAATTCCCATAAATGACGTCCAATTTGAAACTGCCCCTTTTAAGGTTTGACCCTAATTGTGCTATTTGTTAACTGCTGCTGCTTTTAATTCAAATGAGACTGTGCTCTTTTTAAAAAAGGGCGAAGCTACAAATGCCTATGAGTTAGAATAGCTGCAGATTCAAAACAGGATAAACATGACCTAATTGGAATATCTGAAAATGTCGAAAGAGGGAGCCAAGAAGACGGTTGTCTATGGAGGCTTCGGTGTTTATTTGTGCATCCTAAAACTTGTAACGATAATGCCTCTTATGCCTAGTTCAGACTGCATGATTTTAGCCCCGATTTTGACTCGCCGACAGGTTTTGAGAAATCCCCGACAAATGCCTGAAATCACAAGCAAATCGGTGCTCATGCACGTGAGTGACAATCACACAGTATGAACTATTAAAGACGCGATCTGAGAAAATCACAGATGAGTCGCCGATGTCTGTGAGATATTTGGCTTGCTAAATATCTGGAGCTGTCTGCGATTCAAATCATTCCGTGTGAAATTAGTTTTTACTGAAAATAATATCGCCGATCGCCTACAGCCAATGAGAGAGCAGCATTCACTTGTATGTACCTGCTGGCAAGTGAAAGATTGGGGGAGAAGTTAAACGCGCTCATTTTCAGTTTATTTGGACCCAAGAAATGGAGGAAAAAATGGTGGAGGGTTGACAGGAGCACCCGTGTCTGTTTGACGCTTCATACAGAAAGTTAAAAAAGAAAGTTGAGGAGAAATTGCTAATTCCTTTAAAACCCAGGTGAGCAATAATGTATGTTTTCTACCCCATTAAAGGCATCTTTCTCGTTATGTAGTTAATAACAAAAGATATACTACGTGTTTTTGTCGGTGTAGTTTGGACAAAGTTGTCGGCGATTCTTCCTATTGTAAAGTCATGCAATGTGAAAGTCCCTGTCGTCGATCCATCTTGCAGTGTAAACAAAGCAGTGACAAAACACTAGCCCATGCTGTGTGAAAACATCTGTGACATGACTACTTTGAAAATCATGCAGTCTGAACTCGGCATTAGTCTCTGACATTATCTTCGACAGGTACGACACAAAAACTCTAAAAGAATTCAGCTGCTTCTCAATCAGGGCTGTCTATGCTAATGAGGGAGATATTGTGACTAGGCAGGGCTTTCCCTTTCTGATGACACATACTAAGGGAGAATGTCTATGAAAGTATTCTTTTTGCAGACTGTTTTTATAAAGTGTGATTATAAATATTAAAAATAATATATTGTTACTATTATAAGGTGGCTATATTCACACATTGTTGCCACACAACTGTTTAAACTACTTTTAAAAGTGATAGGTCCAGGCCTCACCTTGAGTGAGCTGAACAGGTTTCCTACAAAGATGAGG